TCGTGTGTGTCTGTGTGTGTGCGTGTGTGTGTGTGTGTGTGTGTGTGTGTGTGTGTGTGTGTATGTGTGTGTGGGTGTGTTTGACGTCAATTGAGTCTGTGGAGACGTTGTGTTTACTTCGTGCATACACTTCCTCTCCTCTTCAACTCGCCACATCAGCACAATCTTTGCTCACATGACTCGTGCACTTGGACACATGTCATAGTGTGTCTGGCAATCAGATGCGTCTCCTCTACACGTACGCCGCCCCCGATGACGATCTGGCCGGTACAGTCTCGTGCTTCCCTCTGTCCCTGGTCGTGTGTGTGTGCGTGTGCGCGTGTGTGTCTGTGTGTGCACGTTCACCTGTTCACGTTCACGTTTTGTGGCTGTGGTGGCTTGTGCGCAGCTGGTGAGCGCCTTGCGTGTTCATGCCTCGAGGTATTGACCCTTCTTGCAAACAAACATGCACACGCACACGCACATCGTGCTCAGGTGCCGAGGTTGTGTTTACGTACACCAGGTCCGGTCGCCAGCTCACGCTCACTGGCTCCGTTGGTGGCTCTGACGAGTTCACCATCACCATGAACCGTGCCGATCGTACGTTGCCCGTGCATGCTGTTTGCTTCTATGCTCTGATGTTGCTGCTTGTGTGTTTTGTGTGTATGTGTGGTGCGTGTGAGTGATGGAGAGTGGTGGCGCATGGGGACCTTGCTGCCTTGTTGAACCGCGGGCGATACTGATGTTGACAAACGTGAACATGGTTCTTTCATCGCCTCTTTTCATCAGGCGCCCCAGCTGCCACCGTTGTAAACATCACTGTTTCCGGCGATGTCAACACCTTTGATGCGGACGCTTTTCTTGCCGGCCTCGCTCAAGTGGTGCGTGGCCGTCTGTGTCTCTCTCTGTGTTTGTATGTTTGTGTGTCTGTGTGTCTGTGTCTGTGTGTCTGTGTGTCTGTGTGGTGTATGACCTTCCTCACACCCTGCTTGATCGTCATCTGCACTGTACACCGCCCCGTTCTCACATTCATGGACTCACACCACTCCATTCTTGGATCCTGTGCCCGGGCCAACAGCTCGATATCCCAGTCAACACGATTGAGGTTGTCTCCATCTCCCCCGGCAGCGTCGTCGTCGTGGTTGCGGTTCGTTCGCCTCACCCCACACTCTGCGTTTATATCAGTCCTCCACCCTGCAGTAGCCCTTTCTCGAGCCCTTCTTCCGCCTCAAACACCTCACCACACCACGCCACTGTGACAATCCTGCACTCACACGCACACCCACACGCACACGCACACATGCACACACGTCTGCGTGGCACTCCACCGCTTGTTCAGATCCGGGAGGATGCCTCCGACTCCTCGGCCCCGAGCCTCAGCACCATCATCAAGCGCATCGAGGCTGTTCCGGCCGGCACCAGCATCGGCGGCTACGGCCTCGAGTCTGCCCAAGCCAGTATGTCATACATACGTGTGTGTGTGTGTGTGTGTGCGTGCGTGCGTGTGCGTGTGTGTGTGTGTGTGTCAAAGTGTGTCAAAGTGTGTCAGAGTGTGTCGAAGTGTGTGCTCGTTTGGTTTGCTTCGTCTGCGCGTTGCTAATCCACCCCGCCCCCTCCCGCCAAACTGCAGGCCGCGACCCAGGTTCCACCTCGGCTGCGTCCGTCGCCACCACCTCGTGGTTCGCCGCTGCCATCCTCTTCATGGCCGTGGTTTCCCAGCTGCTGGCCTAAGGGCTGGGATGTGAAGCTTCGCAACGCGCAGAGCTGTTGGCCTCGAAGGAGGGATACCACCTTTGCCTCTCTCTGCCGTTTGCGCCCTGCTGTCCTTGCGCGCCGTGCTTTGCGAACCCCTGTGTTCAGCGTTACACTGCCTGCTTGCTTGTTCGCTGTGGCATGCGTGCGTGTGGCATGTCTGTGTTTGTGTGTTTGTGTGTTTGTGTGTGTGTGTGTGCGTGTGTGTACTTGTCTCTGTGCGTGTCTCCCGATGATGTCGTGTCATCTCTACCGCGTACGACCAGTCATCATACACCCCTCAAAGCGATTCGCCACTACCAAAATTGCGCCAAAATCCGCCAAAATGTGACTAATTGTGAACAGTCGTGTCATAAGCGGGAGATTGGTTCCGATCCTCTTCTTGAGCTGCACAGTAACGGCAGCAGCCACCATGGCATCACGGACAGAACAAGCTTGCATTGTTGTGGGCACGGGATGCGACTGCGCCGAGCACCTGTCCGAGGGACACAGCATATGAAAGCTTGAAGATGGGGTCATTGTTCCTGTCCCGCTTCAATACACACAACGCACGCACACGCACACACACACACACACACAACACATACATACACGCACGCACAACACACATACATACACGCACGCACATGCACTCACGCAGGTTGTGACTGCCCAGCAACTGAACTCCTGTAACCCTTAACACCGACACTCTGCTTCATCAGGCAAGGATGATGTCGTGCCTTACAGCGGTCGCTCAAGCAAGTCAGTGAGCAAGCATGGTGCACCCGTGTTGCCATCGTGTACATGCATTCGAACCCGCACGCCCAACAGCACTGCATCCCGCTGATATCTTTATGTGCTCTGTTTGCTTGCTTCAAACTCACGCCTTTCCCTGGCCAATATCCTCCTCAGAGGACTGGTCCCAACTCGAAGATGTGCTTCGGAAGGACAGCGCAAACCTGGATGTGAACGTCAGAGACAAAGTGGGTCACCCATGAGGGTGCAGTGCGGAGAGTCATGTGTGTGTGTGTGTGTGTGTGTGTGTGTGTGTGTGTGTGTGTGTGTGTGTGTGTGTGTGTGTGTGTAAGCTTGCTTCAGTTTGCGCTTCAATGCAACCTGCCAGGCTGACTGGGTCTTGGCTGTGTCTTACTCTTTTACTCCTGCCCATGGCTGTAACTTTGTTAAACTGCTAGGACGGCATGACGGCGTTGATGTACGCTAGCTTCTATGGGAATGAGGGCTCGGTTCGGTTGCTTCTTGCACATGGGGCTGACCCTAATCTCACCCTACCAACCAGCGAGGTGCGTGTGCGTGTATGATTGAGTGTGCACGCACCTGTGTGTTTGCACGTGTGTGTATACGCGTCTACGTTCATGTTCTTGTGCCTGTGTGTGTGTGTGTGTGTGTGTGTGTGTGTGTGTGTGTGTGTGTGTGTGTGTGTGTGTGTGTGGATCCATGTGCCTGTGATCCCGAGGTAGAAGCTTGTGTGTAAAGAGCTCGTGTGTAAAGAGCTCGTGCGCAAAGAGCTTGTGCTCTTGCCAGCCTCATTCCCCATCCGGCCCCAAGCACAGCATGTAAAGCACGCTGGGTGCTCTGCCCTGCCATCTCCGCCAGACGTTCAATACCTGACCCGCACACACCTCATGTTCACAAATGCTTTGACAGACGACGCCCTTGATGTTTGCCATGATGTCGGGAAACGCGCAAGTCGTGAGTGCACTGTTGCAATGCGGCGCGGACCCACACACGGTCAACAGCAAGAGACGGACAGCACTGGACATCGGCGCTTTCACAGGTTCGCTCACTTAACACCCCTCCGTGCTGCTCACTGCGCCCTTGTGTATGCTTGCCGTCAGATCACGATCAAGTGTACCGTCGAGCCAAGTCGCAACTCTGAGTGGGGCGCGAGCACGCTCAAGTCCTCAAGTCTGACACGACTGTGTCACAGTGCATCACACACACACACACACTCATGTTTGCATCCAATCCCCCCGTGTCGTGCCTTGACGCATACCTAACACGACACACGCACGTACTCGGATGACAGGAAACCGCAGCTGCTGCGAGGCGCTGCGAAAATACCTTGGGGTGGACGCATGAAGTCTGGAACAGACAAATGGGACACACTCAATGCGCATCACGGGCTACAACGGTCATGCAGCCGGTTGAGACCGAGGACGATAGGGGGTTGAAAGAACTGGTGCACGTTACACCATCAGTTGAAGAAAGGGATACGTGGCATACGAGGCGAGGAGGAGGAGGAGGAGGAGGAGGAGGAGGAGGAGGAGGAGGAGGAGGAGGAGGAAGGTGACAAGTTTTGATGGCCACAAGTGTCTGGAGTATGTATGAGGGTTTCGTTTACTGCGCATAAACACGGTGACAAATGTGCTGGGGGGAGCAGCGAGACGTCTTAACAACAAGAAGGGCGGGCGGGCATACTTGGACGCAGTAAGCACAGCAAGGGACAGCGAGCAACATACAAGCCTGCACCAAGACAACAGTCTGAGGTATTCGAGGTCAACAACCACACATAGATAAACAGGAGAGGCAGTTACCGACGCAGAGAAGGTGGAACGCACACACATATATGCACACACACACACACACACACACACACACAAACACACAGCACACAAACAGACACACACACAGACACACACACACAAACAGACACACACACACAGACACACGCACGCAAATAACCCCCCCAAACACACACATGCATACACATACGTACAGTCAACGCCGCCGCATGATGGCATCGCGTATGGCGTGCCACGTATTCAGAAGCAAGAGGCGGGTTTGCAAACGGACGCCACCGTTCATGTCATCCTGGATATCTTGCGATGACCACACGCCACTGCGGCGACGGCGTGCCTGCTCCTCAGCATGGCGATAGGTGTCCAACACAGTCGTCTGCTGCGGGTATCGAAGGAAGGCGTCGTGGTCCAGTTTGGCGTGGCCTTGGCGCAGCAAGAGCGTTCCCACATCCGACCGCACCCCAACCAAGGGTGGGCGTCGCCACACAAACACCCCTTCGTACAAGGGGAGCGTGCCCGTCGTGTTTTGACTGGACGGGTTAGTCGTACCTTCGCTTTCTTCCGAGTCCTGCACAACAGCAACCGCCTGAAACTCGAGCCAGCGACGCCTTGCTTGCATGTTCTCCACGCACCAGTCCCAACCGCTCGAGTGCCATTCTGTTAAGGCGAAGACCGTGGCATTGTGGTGCGTGACCCCCTTTTCACCTCGAAACGGCAGTGGTGGATGCACAATAACTTTAAGCAAAGGCGGGCCAACACTCCCTTGTTGTTGTTGTTGTTGTTGTTGTTGTTGTTGTTGTTGTTGTTGTTGTTGTTGTTGTTGTTGTTGTTGTTGTTGTTGTTGTTGTTGTTGTTGTTGTTGTTGTTGTTGTTGTTGTTGTTGTTGTTGCCTTGGCGGCGCAGTGTGCAGTGTGGTGGAACTGCGTGATGAGGGCACGGTCTGGACTTCTGTGACCTTGACGCGGTATGTTCGCCCAGGCTGTAGTTCCTGTGGCGCATTCAGGAACGGTGAGCGCCACAGTCTCCAAGCTGCAACAGCTAGCAGCGCTGCCAGTGACCCGTGGATGGCCAGCCGCACCACTCGCAAGTGCCTGTCCACCAGCGCAGCCCCTTGGTCCACGAGCGTCCCCTCATTCGCGTCACTTCTCTGGTCTCCTTGCTGGGGGCCGCGAGCGTCTGCAGCATTCAGGTCTGCATCACGACCGTGCTGCTGTTCGCGCTTGCTGCTTTCGCCGTTGTTGTTCTCACTGGTGGTCATCACGTTCCGTCCGAGTGCCGATAATCAGCTGAAAATGTACACAAATCTTCCGTAACCGCGACGCGATCTGCTGACGATGATGACGAGGAAGGCCGATGCAGCAACAAGCAGCAAAGAGTGCTTGTTGTGCGGCGGAGGTGGCGGTGGAAACCATGGGCGCATGGACACGGGTGCTGGCTGGGTAGCAGCGTTCTCAGCTTCAGCCCTTGGTGCAGCCATTCGCTACTTCATTGCAGTGCTTTCAGGTACACACATGCAGCGACGTTTGGTGGGGAGGGGATGCTTGTTCAGGCCTTTCAGGCGGTGTGCTGCGATGAGGTGTGTTGCTTACTTGACACGTGGCACAACGGACCCAAATGTGCCCTCACAAACGTGAGGGTGGATGCATTGCACCCCCTTCTTGCCAACATTATACCCAGGGTACACGCAGAACGACGCCTTCCCCTCCGAGCATGCATTAATCCTGGGGTGCGCCGTTATGGGCGCCGTCTCCGTCGTGCAACGCAGAATGTACGTTCAGCGTGAACAAATTCGCGTTCGTGCACTTATGATGAGAGGGCTTGATGCCTGTTCACAGAGAGAGGGAGAGAATGTGTGTATGAGAGAGAGAGAGTGTGTGTTTGTGTGTGAGAGCGTGTGTGTGAGAGAGAGTGAGAGAGAGAGAGAGAGAGAGACAGACAGACAGACAGACAGAGGGCGCATGTGTGTGATACAGTCCACACACACACTCTCACACAATGCACCCACGCTGTACACGCTTTACCCTCGTCCTCTCACCCTCAAACACCGACACTACACGTTGGGTGTCTGCTTTCCACGTCGTCGCTGAGCAGAAGCAAGTGGCTCGCATTCATTGTAGCCACAGGGTTTGCTGGCTGTTGCACGACCTTTTCATCCTGGCAGGTCTGTTCGATCTTCCGTGTGCACTTGCCCTAGCAATACCCTTTTTATGGTGCAAGCCCTTGTTCATCACCGCTACGACACGCCTCACTCCGAACCTACACTTCACAACGCGCGCGTGTATACCACAGCTGGAGGCAGGAGCACTCTTGTTTGGGCAGCCGGTCGAGGTGTTGGTGATTGAACCCGACTCGCCAACAGAGCAGGCGCTGAGCTGGCTGTCGCTGCTGGTGTCCGGCGTCTTCGTGTCGCTGGGAGCGTTTGGCGCAGGCCGCGTACTTGCTCTCGCGTGCATCACTGCACACGGCGACGTCGCACCGCTGCCAACAACGCTCTCTGCGTCGGCGGCCCCAAAGACAGACGCGCAGCTGGAGACCATCCTGCAGCACATGCTGTCGGACAACGCCGGCAGCAACGGCAGCACGGCAGCAGCAGATGCAGACGGCGAGACAGCAGCGGCAAGTACAGCCCAGCAAGAGCAAGTGGAAGACCTCGATCCAAGTCTGAGCGACGACGACGATGAGGACGGTGATGCTGGTGACCGTGCACCATCGCCTCTCTCTGGCACAGCCACAATGGCTGCGACAACGGCAACGCCGGCAACAGCAGTCACAGCACCACAGCAGCCCACATATGTGGTGGACAGCCCGCCACCAGCTGTCGCTGGTGCAGATGTGTCGCCAACACCAGAGAGGCTTCCCCTCGTTGCTCTCGCTTTTGTGGTGCCCGTGGTTGCCATCACCATCGCTTGCCTGTCTGTAGACAACACACAGCACGTGGGTGTGGTGTGGATCATGATCTTCGCTCTCCCAGGTGCGTGTCTGTGGCAGGTGGAATGCATGCAACGTGTCTGCACATGGCGTGTGCACTCGTCATCATCACTTGGTTGCTTTGCTGCGAGCAGTTGATGGCAAGTGGTTTGAATTCCACCGGACCTCACACTGAAGTATCGATTGTCGCGCGCACGCGTGCGTGTATGTATGTGTGTGTGTGTGTGTGGATGCATGTGTTTCCAGGCATGATGATACGGCACTGGTTGTGTACTCGCATTCGTCCGCGCCGGTACAAGGTACCAACTCCTTTGCACGCACCAGCACTCCCCTGTCAACCACACCACCTTCACCTCAGACGTTTTGCTCACAGAGTAGTGTGTGCGTGTGTGCGTGTGTGTGCGTGTGCGTGTGTGTGTGTGTGTGTGTGTGTGTGTGTGCGTGTGTGTATGTGTATGTGTGTGTGTGTTGTGGGGGAAAACTGCAGCACGTGTTCTACTTCAACGGTACCTTGATTGCAAACATGCTCGGTACCGTCGCGCTCGCTCTCCTCGGCATTCTGCGCGACCAGAAATCTCTCTTTGACACATCCTCCCTCGCAAGGTGTGCATGGAGTGGGTGAGGAGTGAGTGAGTGAGTGTGTCTACTTTGCAGGTTTGCGTGTGCTCCTGTGTTCCTGCGTTCCGCACGATGGTGGCAGCTTTCCACTACGCGTGCTTACCCATGCCACCCATCGTCAGCCACAGTATGCTCCAGCTGCTCATCGTGTGTGATCTGGTTTGTTTCGGTGCGCAGTGCTGCGTCGGTGAGCGTTGGGCTGCAGGTTGGTTTCTGCGGATCCCTCACCACCGTGTCGTCCATGGTCAACGATGCTTACAAACTCATGGACAGCAGGCCCGGTGCGTGTGCCCTGCGAATGCACACGTGTGTGCCACGTGCTCATGTGCTCGCGCATGTTTGTCCATCTGCGCTTGTGTGCGTGCACGTTGTGCTCTTCCCCATCACAGTTGCGCAGTCTTTGCAAACCACTTGCACACACTCACACCTACGCACACACACGCACATACACGCACGCACACCCTCACCCCATGTGTGCAGGCCTGGCCCTGGCGTATTTGGCTTGGTCCGTGGTGCTCGCTCAAGCCCTCCTCATCCTCGTGTTTGGAACATACGCGTGGACCAGATAGCACACGTCACACACGCGCGCGCGCACACGCAGACACACACAGACACATAGACACACACACACGCACACACACACGCACACACACACACACACACACACACACACACACACACACACACACACACACACACACACACACACACACACACACAGTAGGAGCAGTGGCGTCCATGTTTTCGTTTAATGCAGGCTGCACTGCGTTTAACATGCGTCAGTCAATCATAGGACCTCGAGAGCTAGATGGTGGTAATGGTGGCGGAATGTGCCGGCAAACAAGGATAGGGCAGGATAAACACACACGAAGGGCGAGATGCAGACAGTGTGAATGTGGACAACAAGGTGATCTGGCAAATGTGACAAGAGAGTAAAACGAACGCGGCAAAAGCTAAGCAAACGGCACAGCGTCAAGCGAGAACAGGCGAACGAAGCAACCAAACGCAACCGTGCACAGGTGAATGCAATTGTGGGATCGGGTGTGAATGTGAATGCGTGGATGTGAGTGTGTGCGCGTGTGTGCGTTACTGATGGAGAACAACTTCCCACCCCCCTCCCTTTGTCAGTGTGGCCAGCCACAGTTGAGGGAAAGAAAGCGCATCCAAGCGAGCAACGACAGCCACAGACACATCGAACAAGGACGCACAAGAGAAGCAGCAGCCAGTCACACGCAGTGTGTACGATGGAAAACATACCCAAACCAAACAACAAGAACGGAGAACGAAGCCACACAGCGTGACTGCTCGCGAGCATTGGCCACCCTACGACATGACAACTCTCTGCTCGAGAAGGGACCACATCACGCTTGCGACGGCATGCGCTTCCACTTGCCCGGCTGCTTCCAATCGCGTACAGGGAGGGTGGCAGCGGGGCTGCGCGGTGCACCTTGCAGCTCAACACGGCCGCCGTCGGCAAACGAGCTCGAGCGAGACATGGCGCTGGCAGAGGACCACGCGGAGAGCATGGATGTCGACGACGTTGGGCGGGCGATGGTGGAGGAGGAGGACACGGCTTGCTCGCGCAGGGCAAGCAGTGCATTCTCGCCGATGCTGCTGCTGCTGGCACGGCGCAGCGGGGTGTGATGGCGCACGCCGCGATGGCGGCTTGGATGCAGATGGTGACGATCATCATCGTCGTCATCGTCAGCATCATCGTGCGACGTCACTTCGACCCGCGGCTTGGACGCGTCTGTGGGACCAACACGGCGCTTGCTCGGGGTCGCGTGCTCACCGCCGTGCACGCTGCCGCCATTCTCCACATCATCATCGTCAAACGCATTGCCGTCGCTGTCGTCATATCCACTGCCCCGACTGCCCCGCTGCTGCTGCGGCTGCTTCTGCCACGCCCGCTTGTGCGGCAACCCGCGGTGCTGCTGCTGTTGGTGCTGTTGCTGCTGCTGGGGCATGGATATGCCACTGAGAATGGCGCTTGCACGGCGACTGCCACCACCGGCTGCTGATGCTGTGCGGGAGAGGCGGCGTGCTGGCGCAGCGGTGGGGCGCACGTTGATGGCCTCGCGAATCAGTTTGCGCAGGGCCGGATCTGATCCCGTGGCCAAATCCCACTTGAGGTCCTCCATCAGCGCCTCCTGCTCGACCTTCGAGTGCGGATCAACGATTGCACTTCGCTTCTCCGGGGCAACGAACATGTCTGGTGCACACGTGGACGATACAGTGCAGATATATGAAGGCGGAGGGGAAAGGAGGGGAGGGGTGAGACCAGGTCTAGTTGGAAGCGCGCGTGCGCGTGTGTGTGTTTATGTGTGTGTGTGCGTGTGTGTGTGCGTGTGTGTGTGTGTGTGTTTGTGTGTGTGTGTTTGTGCGTGTGTACATGTATGTGTGTATGTGTGCGCACATGTATGTGTGTGTGTGTGTTCGCTCGCAATAATGCAGCAAAGCAGGCAATTGCAGCCACCACCAATCAGAGAGAAACGCCACGACGCACCATCTGGGGAGATGTTCATTTCCCTCAGCGTCTCCTGTACAAATGTCAGATCCATCGCTCGCGAATTGCGCCAGTCATCACCGTGGGGTCGTTGCTGATGATGGGGCTGACCGTGACCGTGATTGTGATTGTGATTGTGACCGTGATCGTGATCGTGGGGTGCTGTGATGATGCTGTCTTCATCACCACAGGTACCACCCTGGTTCTCTTCGCCGTCATGGCGCTCGCTATGCACGGGTGTTTCGCCACTGCGCCCATTGGCATCTTCCTCTGCAAACACATCATCGTCACTGTCACTGTCATCGTCGTCACCACCACCCCTGTATCCACCACCTCGCGCCATCCGACCACCATCACGGCTGCCAGCACGACCCGTGCTGCTGGCGCTGGCGTTGCGTTGTCGATCACCACGTGCGCTCGTGCATCGCATATGTGCAGATACTGCTCGCCGCCACGTCCCCTGCCGCTGCTGCTGCTGCTGTTGAATGCCTCCACGCGCTGTTCCAGGGCGATATGAGGGCGGGCGGGTGCTTGACCGCTGCGTGGACGTTGTCGACCGTGCGCGTGCTGTTGACCTGCCGCTGGTGCCGCCACCACCACGTGCGCTGGGTGTGCGGTTGACAGGTGCAGACGCAGGTCTGCCCTTGACAATGTCGCGCATGCGGCGCTGTCGCTCCTTTGCACGGTCCGTGCTGTTGCTCACGGCTTTGCCGAGCTTTGCCCGCTGGTAGTCCCGCTCAGACTCCTTCACAAGCGTCAACAGCTGTTGACATGGCCGTGTGTGTGTATGCGTGCGTGCGTGTGTGTGTATGCGTGCGTGAGTGCATGAGTGAGTGAGCGAGTGAGTGAGTGAGTGAGTGAGTGAGTGAGTGAGTGTGTGAGTGAGTGTGTTTGTGTGTGGAGCGAGCATCCTGGTACTTTGCACGCTGTCTACAGCACACGCCACGGCCACAATGCAAGAAGTGAGCACACCCATAATTTCCATTACCACCATGGCCACCACCACCGCGCTTGTCGCACCTCATCGACGTGGTCCGATGAGGACTGGAAGCGCATGGCTTTGAGCTTTGCGCGCCGCTGCTGTACGTCCTTCTTGATCATGCGTGCGGTGTTGTACTTGACTTTGAAGCTCTTCCACAGCTTCTGCGCGTTGAGTTTGTTCTCCAGCCGCTTCTCTGCAGGGATGAGGATGGACTTGAAGTCCTGCAGCTCGTAGATGCTCTGTGCGTTCATGTTGTTGCTTGCGCTTGGGTCCATCCCCGCCGTCACCTCCCTGATGTGCGGGCAGCGCGTGAGCAATTCTAAGAACTCGTGCAGCTGCAGGCGGCTTGGCAGCTCGATGCTTCGCGTGAGGCGGCATATCTCCACCGGCAGCTGCGACGGCGCGATGATGCGTCCAGAGAGTTTCAGTGCGCGGCTGACAGAGGTCAGGTCCTTGAGAAAGATGCCTTCGTGATCTGCCTCGTGGTCGTACAGGTCAAACGCCACCTTTGCGTCATACACCTCTTGGAAGGAGAGCTTCTTTGTGCAGACGAGGCGCATGGATTTGCGGAGCGCCAGCGCATTCACGGCGCTCGTGCGGAAGTTGACTGTTTTGTGCAGGTCCTTGTCCAGATTGCCGCTGTTGTTGTTGTTCAAGTGTGTGTGTGTGTGTGTGTGTACGTGTGTGTGCATGTGCGTGCGTGTGTAAATGCGTGCGTGTGTGTGTAAATGCGTGCGTGTGTGTGTGTGTGCAAATGCGTGCGTGTGTGTGAATGCGTACATGTGTGTGATGCGGAGTGCAAGCAAGGAAGAGGGGTTAGTAGTGAGCAGCAGCTGCAAACAAGCACGACAAACAAACAAGCAAGGTGGCGACGCTAACGGCAGGTGCACAGGGCGACCACAGGTGATCAGGGCGGCAGTGCCTACCTGTCGAACAGTCCATCAAACTGCGTCTTTGTGAGGCCATTCTGCTGTCGTGCCAGCTTGGGGCAGTGCTTCTCAAAGAGATCGCCTTTGAACTGCAAACAACACAAACGAACAGAAACAACACACATGGCGTGAGGGGAGTTGGGTTGTGTGCTGTGCCCACCGAAGCAAGTCGGCATGAGCAACAGGCATTGCAAGCAAGGGCAAGCAAGGGCAAGCAAGGGCAAGCAAGGGCAAGCAAGGGCAAGCAAGGCAAGCAAGGGCAAGCAAGAACAGGTGGTAATCTTACC